TCCTTAAATACTGTTCGGCATAATTATCAGTCTGCATACCAGGATATAGACGGTGTTATCGCTCAACGAGATGACAGAGATAATCAGATAGTCCAGCTACAACAGGATGTCAATTTCTATAGCAATAAATCCAAATATAAAGTCGTCGTTATATTACCAACCTCCTTGACAAAGTCTTCCATCATCTCATCTTCATTTTGTGAATGCAAAAGCTTGTATGCCACCATTCTATCAAGTGACTTCACTTTGGCTTTGAAAACCGCCCCATATCCTCCGGCACCGAGGTATAGGATGTCAATAAAGTCATCGAAAGAATAAAACCGAATGTTTCCATCTTCAATATTTTTTCTTAACCATTCCTTATCAGGCTGACTTGAGGTCATGCTTGTTGCTGCTATTACAATGACTCGATACTATCCGATTGCTTTGATATAATATCATTGGTTGTTTATTTTGCATATATACTGTATCACCTGATACAAGAACGTCTATATCATGTTTCCTTTACGCAAGGGTAACTCGACACTTGAGTGAACAAGCCATAGGCAATAGCTGTGAACACATATCGCAAACTGTCAACCATGTTTACTGTATTAGTATTAAAGTTTCGCAATTGACCGCATTTTCGTTGGCGACGAAGGCAGGTTTAATAGATTTGATTATCGTTATGACTATTAGCACATAACAAGAAGCTGGTCTTTCTAAGGTGAGAATTAAGATACAACTTATTATTCCTCACTCGAATATAAACAACATATAGTCAAGTCGAATTGACACTGTTCGTTATTCTAAACAAACTGACGGTCTAATTCACGATGCAGGATTGATTACGTGATCTCGTGACGGAAACATAGTTTTGCATGACATACCCATATATAGTATATGCGATCTTGATAGGATGTTGGACTACACACCTCCAAAAAGAAATTAATTAGAAACTCGTGGGCATCCTCTGGAAAAAGCTTGTCAACAGGGTTAAAGATATCCTGAATCATCTTATCATAATTTGTTTCTTCGGTATATAAAAGGACAAACTCAGACGACGGTCTAAGGTCCATTATTCCGTTTTCTGAAAGGATGTTGTTTGCTTCACATCGATACGTTTGAAAGTTTGCTGCATCTCATGTGAGCATTCCTCTGATTCATCTAACAGATTTCTAACTGCATCGTTTTGCTTGCTATGTGCTTCAACATTTTCTTCTTACTATCGTCGCATTTACTGATTATGCTTGGATCGGTCTATAAAAGAGATTGTGAAATTAATATTCACATTTAGGACAGCAAAAGACAGCAAGAGATAATTACAAACCCTCATTCAAGCGAACGCGCTTCACTTTATCGTCTTCAAGGACCTTTTAACATCTTTGGTTGCCGTTTGTGCTATGCTAGTCATTTGCTCGATAACTTCATTGGCCACTGTCAATTTATATCTCGACTGTTCCGAAACAATATAAAATAAGAAGATTTGTCTATGCATTTAGTAAAAAAAGAAACAAATAATATTCACCCTGGTCGTTCGGATTTGTGTCTCTGTAACTACATCCGAACCCCAAAATTGGTATATCCGTCCATTCTTCTTGAGATCAACCTAAAATGCAATATCTAATAAATAACTCACAATGCAAGAAAAAAAATCAAATTGAACAAAACAACAAAATATGTGATAGATGGATAGTAAAATGAGCAAGAGCTAGGGCGGACAAGTCCCCTTAGCTATTCCCATCACTACTGACTTACAAGCGAGCCCCAAGGCAGACAAGTCTCTCTGGTTATCCTTGTCACAGTCTCCATCATATCACTTAAAGAGATGAAACACTTACTTCATGCTTGGCTAATACCACTAAGGCTCTCTGTCGTTCTTGATGACTTCCATGCATACTCAGCCACTTGAGCTGTTTTTTGGCTGCCAATATCACTTGTCCCTTAGAGGGCGCATGGCCACTTGTGACCCAATGTTTGTGGTAATCTAACGGATCCCAACTTTCAGGTGGAGTTTCCTTCCAGTACGAGAACCCTAACGTATTTTCCACAGTGGTCATCAAAGTCGAAGATAAAGCTTTTTGGGAAACAAAATCGAAAGTTTAGCATTAAAAACTGAAGTTAAAAGTGAGAGAAACGGAACAGAGAAAGCATTACAGATAATCACCAAGAGATATGTTGATGGTAGAGCAAGAACCAGGATTGTTATTAAATGAAATGGAACGGGCGAAGACCGAGAAAAAAAAAGTTTGAATGATTGGTTGCCGAAATTCCGCGAGCCAAGTACACGTTCATAATGCGTGCAAACGAAAACTAAAGTAAACTTGCCTATATGTTATGCCACAAATACCCCCGCATATCATATTTTTGTTGCAATTCTCTACCATGTCTTTGGCACCTCTGGAGTTTAAAATTAAGTGTAAATTTTTCAAGTAATAAAGTATTAATCCGCATCTGCATTCCTCTTTCAAATTGCTGAGCGATCCTCCTCCATCTATGACATTCTGTCCGCTCATTATTATAAGCTGTAGTCATTAAAGCAAGATTATTTTGAGAATTGTTACGCTCTAGTGTAAGTCGGTTAAC